CACACACACACACACACACACACACACACACACACACACACACACACTTTATTTATATATAAGTCTTGGTGCGGTATAGTTACCTGAATACTTAAGGCTCTCAAGCTATTATAAATGATTTAGTTTATTAGACAGTATAGTTCTTTATTTTGTATCGAGCACTAACATAACTGATATTTGAAACATCAAAAATATTTGACAACTCCCTCAGCTAGAAATCTGTTTCACTTACACAGTAGAACCTGAGTTTTATGAGCACTAATCTTACGAAGCAGCGGTTATATTGACCACATTTCTCGAGTGGAAAAAAGGTAAGTCACAACAAAAATAATGTAGAAGAAGAACCAGTCAACTTACCTTCATATTCCCATGCCTTCAATCACTGGCAATTTCTTTGTAGGACAAGAAAGTTGTGCACTGTACCTACTGTAACAGACGTTCAATTTTATGAACTACTTATTCTCAATTAGTTTAAGCAAACTTTGGTAGAACCCTTGTTTTACAAAGTTATCTTACTTAGCCCAGTTATATTTCTTTTTTTTACCTGTGGTAACAGTGGCAGCTGTGGTAGAATTAGCTGTGGTAGAATTAGCAGCTGTGGTAGCAGCAGTAGATGAATCTGTAGAATAGTGTGTAAAAAAAATAAAGTTAACTTACAAGATTGTAATAAACATAAAACAGACTCCCATTTAAGGATAGTAAAATGTTTAATGGACTGTTATGAAGGCTAATGTGAAGTAGCAAAAAGATTGGAAGAGAGTTCACTGCACTACAGTAACACTAAACTGTGGGAGCAGAATACCTCAAGCAAACAAAACTGACACGCCTACGGGGTAATTCAAGCCAGAAACAGGCTGTAACAGAGGCCAAGCCTGGACTCTCAGCCCAAGTGCCCTGGAACGTTCCAGCTGGCTACCGCAGATCCTGAAGAGTTGCTGTGGCTAACTGGTGGATGCACACCCATGCTTTGGATCTGGAAACTGGGCAGGATATGTGAGAGATTTAGGCATCCAGTTCCCCTTTGTGTCTTAGAAAGTCTTCCTATAACAGTTCAAGTTCAATTTGGAGCTAGATTCCACAGGTAGGTATGCATTTGCTCTGGCTTGCTGGGTGATTAAAATGTATACTGAAAGCTGGGACATCTTCAGTGGTCCAAAAAGTTGAGTTTAGATAAAGCTCTCCTTCCACTGAGTACCAGAAAGTAAAACCTGAGCATATAGTCTAAGAAGCTGTTAGAACTTTTTAAAAAAGAAACTGGTTAATAAAAGCAGTTTGCTGTATATACATATGTTCTAAGCACTGATTACAATGCATGTTATTTGGGGCAGCAGATTCATTAAGATTTCTTTCTAAAGGGGGCTCCACCAATTCCCAGGATACAATCTAACAGTTCTTGGATATGCAGGAGTCAAGTAATACTTGGTATAATGGGAGAAATAATAGTCTCACTGCAAACCTAATAGGAATAGATTGGAGTTCTGCTACTCGTTCTGACACAACCAACAGTTTAACATGACAATAAAGTGCTGTTCTACTAGAAAGTGGTTTAGTAAAAAGTGGCATTCTGGGGTTCCTTATTTACCTTAGTGACTCCAGGGCAAATGCAATCAGTTTACAAAGAGGTTTTTCTAATTGCCATTCCCTAAAACAAGTTGAAATCAGAAGTGACGTACAAGGTAAGGCTACATTTTAGGCCTAGGTATTTTTAGTAAGTCACAGACAGGTCACGGGTTGAAAACAACAATTCATGGCCCGTGACCTGTCCATAACTTTTACTAAAAATACCAGTGAATAAAACTGGGGTGTGTGGCTGCCCAGGGCCCCTGCGGATGGTGTGTGCGTGTCAGTCAGGGGGAGGGTTGGCAGGCTCCCTACCTGGCTCTGTGCCTATCCTCTCCCCCCACCCCCAGCATAGTTTGGGTGTGGGGCAGGGGCACAGGACAGGGTGAGGCGGGCTCTGGGCAGTGCTTACCTGAGGGTCTCCACAGAAGCAGCGACATCCCTCTCACTCAGCTGCTAGACGGAGGCAAGGTCACACAGCTCTGCACACTACCTCTGCCTGCAGGCACCTCCCCGCAGCTCCCGTTGGCTGTGGTTCCTGGCCATGGGAGCTGTGAAGCCAGCACTCTGGGCGTAGGCAGCCCACAGAGCTGCCTGCCCATGCCTCTGCCTAGCATCAGAGCGAAGGGGATGTTGTTCTCTTTAAGCTTACATACTATAGAGATCTGCTTATACAATTGATACAAGGTATGTTAGTGGAGGCTGATAACTATTGTGCTGGAAGTTGTAAAGAATAGGAGGACTGTCTCAAATAGATAACACAACTTGGAAAAGACTGCATTAAGAGTCAACCTAAACAATATCCAGATACTTACAAAAACACTGTGAAATGGCAGTACAGTTAAGTCCTGTTGCATTTTCACAAGAAAAGTTTGATCCTGTCCAAAAAAAAAAAAAATGTAATATCAAGGAGCCGTAGGAAAAGGTATTTTTATATTACAATTTCTCAAAAACGATTATTATGCTTTTTATCAACTATAAATTATGTTCTCATAAAATTTCTTAATGTTCTACGGGGGATTCCCTGGGGATGTCAGTCTCTTGGCTAGTAGAATTAAAACTATTTCAATGGACACGATTTAATACACTTGAATGAGTTCCATCATTAATGACATGAAGTATGTTTTTGTAAAGCAAGAGTGAACAAAACAGTAACATTCACTCACATAAGCACTGTACGCAATCTGTGTAATACCTCTTGCAATATATTCTAGTTACAGATCCCTTTTTCAAAATGGTACATAAGCGGGTATGTGGATATAAACAGAGTCAGACAAGTTTAAATAAAACATTAAAAGCACTATTTAGTTTACTGTTACTATGTTTGAAAAACTAGGGCAGAAATACTCCGGGCCCAGTTCTGTGATACTGTACAATGACTTCCACTAAGAATAAATGGAAGTTGTGCAATATATCTAAAGCAGAATTTAACCTGCAATTTAAGAGGAATTCATATTTATCTGTTTTGATCAAATTGACAATCCATATTTACACAGCAATTTAGTGTTAATGTAGCCTGTTAAGAAGTTTCAAGACATTTAGCACACTTATTTGTCCTTAGTCCTCTCAAAAGGTTCTTTCCACTACAAATTCAGTATATGTAGTCTCAAGAATTCTCTGACAAAATTTGAGGCATTGTGGACAACCTGTTTGAGAGGAACACCAAAACTGGGCTGGTAATGTTTGAAACTTCTTTCCATTAACTATGGAGAGAGATCCTCCATGAGACTTTACATGGGTAGTCTGAATAACCATGTATTATCCCATCACCACTACCCTCATTTCCTCTCCTTGTTCCAATTGTTTCATCCACTTCTGTCCCTCATGTTTAGAATCTAAACTCATCAGGGAGGGACTGTCTTAACACAATGTTTTGTTCAGTGCCCAGCACAATGGGACCCTAATTCTGATTATGCCTTCTGGGCACAACTAAAATATAAATCAATAGACTACCTTACATAACTGATTGTCTACTGCCCTGTCTTCTCTTGGGGCACTTGATATCAGGACAGGATTTAAGAGTTCTGTGGGATAATCTCAAAAGGGACTGCAATGTTGGAACGCTTGTCAATTTTAACAAGTCAAGGTCCATCCACAACCTCCTTACCAGCAAGGCCAAGTAACTAGTTTTCTAGTAGTCAAGATTTTCCATGGTGCTTCAGGTAGTATGGTTAGCGGGTCTTTAAAAATTCTGCTTTTATTTGTATTTTGGGCATAATATTCCGCTGCCTCTGGATAAGAATTTAAGATTAGTTTAACTTTCACGTCAAAGTGTTTGTAGTTTGTGTCCATTACTGTTTTGGGATCTGAACAGTTTAGAACAATTTTAAGATAGTGTTGCTTTTCACTATGTTATCCACCAAAAGAGTTATCATTGATCACCCCTTGTAAATGTTTGTGAAATCAGACCCAAAGACATATCTACTTATTAAATATTAGTTTTTCCAGATGTTTACCTTTGCACTGAATCCACTTGCATCCTGGGATAGTGCTATTAACACAGTCATTGCAGGTTTTAAGATCTGCACAGCTATCTGAAAAAGGGAAAACATTTAATTATGGGCCAGTTGATAGTTATCAGAAGAGCAACTCTCCCAAAGATAATGGGATTAGTTTTCTAGCATTTTTAAATCACAGATCTCAGTTTTACTTATTAGCACCTATGAATTGAGGACCTCCATAACATCCTCAAAAGTGTTTACATATGAACTGAGTCAACTCCCCAACTAAACATCTTTATTTTCGGATAAGAAGCTGTAGCACAGAGAAGCGACATGCCTAAATTCACACAAATCCATGGGACAGAACCAAGACTGGGTGTCGACAGATCTGGTGGTTAACCCATAGGATTATCTTTTTTCCCCTCTCAAGTATCATTAGTGACTCCAACTACACATGCATTAGGCTCAAGTAGATTCAAATGCACTTTACTCGTGCCCAACAACACTATTGCTATTCCAATGCCGTGCGCCAGAAATGTCAATTATACCTCATGTAGTGGTCTCCAAATATATTTAATAAAGCTCATGGGAATCTAAATAGAGAACAGAAAATTTACAAGAGTGAAAAAAACTAAGGGTATGCCTATACAGCAAAGAAAAATCCACAGTAGGGCCATGGCAGTAGATTTGGATTCACAGGGCTGGGCTGCAGGGCTGTTTCACTGCCATGTAGATGTCTGGGGGCTCAGGACTCTAGGATCCTGCAAGGAGGGAGGGTCCCAGAGCTCAGACTCCAGCCGAGCCCAGAAGTCTACACAGCAGAGAAACAGCCCCGCAGCCTGAGCCTCATGAGCCCAAGTCAGCTGGTATGGGTCAGCCATGGGTTTTTCTTTGATGTGTAGACATATCCTAAGTCTGCAAACAAGACTTCACAGGAGTATTTTGAAACCTCAGTGGGTAAAAGCCTTTACTATAAAAGGGAAGAGACAACAGAAAAGAGTCAGTTAAAGACTTATGGGAGAAAGCAACACAATGGAATTAGTTAATGCTGGCCTAGCTGGTATAAGCCCTCATTTGTTACAATTGTACCAAAAGAGTGTGGAACAGACCAGAATGAAGACAGTTTTCCTGTTTTACCACACTGGCAACTAGTTCTGGTGGGACTGATGCTGGTTCTCTACAAAGTTATTTGGACATATTAAACCTAAGTCTCACAATTGGCTCTCCAAAGAGACTATGCTAGCAGGACCAATAGTCTTGTGTGCATGCTGCTGCACAATGGATGCTATCTATTTAAGCACATATTTTAGCTGATAAAACAAGAGTGTTAAAATTTGTCTTTTCCATACTCTAGAATCTATCCTGGCTCTTGGAGTGGCCAAGTACTTTACAATGCTATAGAAGAGGGATCAGCAACCTTTGACACACAGCCCACCAGGGTAAGCACCCTGGCAGGCCGGGGCAGTTTGTTTACCTGTCGCATCTGCAGGTTCGGCCGATCGCAGTTCCCATTGGCCGCGGTTCGCCGTTCCAGGCCAATGGGGGCTGTGGGAAGCTGTGGCCAGCACATCCCACAGCCCGTGCAGCTTCCCGCAGCCCCCATTAGCCTGGAATGGCGAACCGCAGCCAGTGGGAGCCGTGATCGTCCGAACCCACGTGCCAAAGGTTGCCAATCCCTGCTATAGAAAACAACAGTCTAAGCATTAATAGGAATAATTGCAACTAGACTTGACAGCTGTGGATGGGTAAGAGATGGAAACTTCCCTCAGGGTTCAAATGCCAACGTTACTACACTGCAGAATTGGAAATCCTGAATACCAAGACTGATCTTCCCTTTCTGCTGAGCATATATCTTCACTCATATGGGATCTGTTACTAGTAGTTTGAGATAGTTGGGAGGGAAGATACTAGGTAACTGAAAACCAGGAATGGCTTATAGGACAGATTCCACCCACTCTCACTGGGTTTCTCAACAGGTGTGACCTGGTACTTCTGTTTTTGTAACTAGAGTCTGCTTGTCTAACTCAACCCTGCTTATTTTTTGGAATACTAAGATTTCTTAAGGTGTCTAGTGAATGCAATGCCAGCCTTGACTCTAAAAGTGACGTACCGTTTTTCTTGGAGAAACTATTAACTTCTCCACCTGGGAGTGAACACATCTTTTAATACTGAATTGGAAGTCCAGTTGCAATTAGTGATTATCCTTAGACTGGAACCAGACCAGAAATGTCCTGTCACTTGGATATGCACACGTGTCCTATGTTGCCCATGACTATCAAGATCTCAGTCAGCAATGGTTCCCACATGAAAGTATGCCTACAGATACTACTGATATCAAATCATCCAGCCTCTGAAATTGAATCTGAGCAGACACCTCCTGGCTCAGATAAATCCTCTGCCAGACTTCAAATGTACTAGAACTGTTCTAGAGCAAGAAAGCTTGGAGCTGAGCTTTGTCTTACAGCCCCAAGGTACCTGCAGACATCACTCTTGAAACAGCAGCTCTTGCCACCATACAAATTAAAGGTAATTTTTTTACTTGAAGTCAAGGCATTCACCTGGCCTGAGTGACCTTTCACATTTCCTTGTGAAGAGACTTGGTCATACTAAGCCATCTACACTGATATTTGGCAATGTAGACCTGGTAATCCATATTTTGAGGTGAAAGTATAGACTGGTAAACCCTTCAGCCACATTAAGACTGCAGCAATGAAGCTCAGGATTCTAGGGCCTTGAATTCAGCTCTTTCTTCTGGATATACATCTTGACTTTAGCAAAGCCTTTGATACGATCTCCCACAGTATTCTTGCCAGCAAGTTAAAGTAGTATGGATTGGATGAACGGACTATAAGGTGGATAGAACGTTGGCTAGATTGTTGGGCTCAGCGGGTAGTGATCAATGGCTCGATGTCTAGTTGGCAGCCGGTATCAGGCAGAGTGCCCCAGAGGTCGGTCTTGGGGCTGGTTTTGTTCAGCATCTTTATTAATTATCTGGATAATAGGATGAACTGCACCCTCAGCAAGTTCGCAGAGGACACTAAGCTGGGGGGAGAGGTAACTATGCTGGAGGGTAGGGATAGGGTCCAGAGTGACCGAGACAAATCGGAGGATTGGGCCAAAAGAAATCTGATGAAGTTCAACAAGGACAAGTGCAGAGTCCTGCACTTAGGATGGAAGAATCCCATGCACCACTACAGGCTGGGGACTGCCTGGCTAAGCAGCAGTTCTGCAGAAAAGGACCTGGGGATTACAGTGGATGAGAAGCTGGATATGAGTCAGCAGTGTGCCCTTGCTACCAAGAAGGCCAACTGGATATTGGGCTGTATTAGTAGGAGCACTGCCAGCAGATCGAGGGAAGTGATTATTCCTCTCTATTCGGCACTGGTGAGGTCATACATGGAATACTGTGTCCAGTTTTGGTCCCCCCACTACAGAAGGGATGTGAACAAATTGGAGAGAGTCCAGCGGAGGGTAACGAAAATTATTAGGAGGCTGGGGCACATGACTTATGAGGAGAGGCTGAGGGAACTGGGGTTATTTAGTTTGCAGAAGAGTGAGGAGGGATTTGATAGCTGCCTTCAATTACCTGAAGGGGGGGTTCCAAAGAGGATGGAGCTAGGCTGTTCTCAGGATGGCAGATGACAGAACAAGAAGCAATGGTCTCAAGTTGCAGTGGGGGAGGTCTAGGGTGGATATTAGGAAACACTATTTCACTAGGAGGGTGGTAAAGCACTGGAATGGGTTACCTAGAGGGGTGGTGGAATCTCCACCCTTAGAGGTTTTTACGGCCTGGCTCGACAAAGCCCTTTGCTGGGATGATTTAGTTGATGTTGGTCCTGCTTTGAGCAGGGGGTTGGACTAGATAACCTCCTGAGGTCTCTTCCAACCCTAATATTCTGTGACTCTATAAGGCTGCCTCAGAATTATGAGAGAAGTGTCTTACGACATTGTTGCCTATTTCTCCACTTTCCAGGAAAAAGTGTTTCCTTACACTTTTTAATCTTTACCAGCTCATCAACACAGTGTGAGGACACACCAATCCTATTCACATAGGAAAGCTGGTCCAGCTACCCATCAATGATGGTCACAATTCCTAGAGAGGCATGGTTCCAAAAATCAGTTCAGTCTGCAGGTTTTCCTCTTCTGTAGAGATGTATATGGCTAATGACCATACCCTGAATAGAATCAGAATAGCACCCATCTCCAGATACTTCCAGTTAATGCCACACAAGCAACTTGGCACAGCACTTCAATGGAGATGGCAGGACAGAAGTTGCTGCCAAAATAAGGCATCTGATAACAGTTTTGTTGAGGTTCTCGGTGCAGACTGCATCCCCTTTAGACTGCACCATCTTTTCATTCTGTTTGTACAGCGCTTATCAAAGCGGGTCCCAGTCCATGACCAGGGCTCTTAGACACCACAGTAATACAACTAATAGAATAATAAAGTTGTGTCTGCCTGCTGTGGGTTCCGTGACATAATCTTAGCCTTAATTATAGTGGCGTATTTCCTTAATGTAGGGCGTGCCAATTAACATTTACATAAACAAACACTGTATAACAACATAAAGTTGTATAGATGCATGCAATAAACTATTGTAGATGTGAGTACATGGCTATCAAAAACTCCAAAGGGACAGTTTATTCTGATTACTCAAGAACAGGCTCTGTGGCTGGTTACTCAGTTTTGCTGCGCTGTTTGCTCCCAGTGGTCTTTGCACTTTTTTACACCAACTATAAATCACGGCTTCGGGAGGCAGATCTGGGCATTTCCTGCCCTGGGTTACTCAAATCTGTTAAGTGGCTCTGCTTATCCTCCTCCTGCCGCAACAGGGGAAGCAAATGCTGCAAGCGGCGATTAACACCAGCAAGCTGCGCTTTCGGGAACTGGATCCAACACCCGAGGAAACAAGCTGGGTGCGCGTGCAACGGAGCCGACTGCCACCAGGTCTCCTGGGCAGCGCGGAGAGGGCGCAGGGCACCGGGGAATCACGGCGACAGAAGCGAGCTTAGGACGACACCTCCCGCCCCCCAGCCCTGGAGCCGCGCCGGCCACACAGGGCCCCCCGGGCTGGGGACAGCGGGGCGCTCCGGGTGCACGCGGCCGGTCAGCGGCCGGTCAGCGCCCGGCCCGGGACGCGCCTCCCACCCCCGGCCGGGGAAGGAGCGAACTCCTGCGGGGCGCCGGCGCATGGGCCCGCCACAGCGCTCGAATTTGGGGGAGGGGCGGCCCCCACCGTTTACAGCCCCCGGCCCCAAGAGGAGCCGCCCGCGCGGGCCCGCCCCGCTCCCGCCTCACCTTTCCCCGCCGCCGCCGCCGCCCACAGCAGGGCCAAGCAGGCCGTGGCGAGCAGGAACCCCGGTGTCCGGCCCATAGCTCGGTGTCTGACTGACGGGGCGGCTCAGACGCCTCCGCGACCAACCGCAACGACGCTCGCTCTACAGCTCCCAGCCCAGCTACGTCAGGTGAGCACGTGAGAAGGGCGTGGCGCTGACCTATTACGTAGAAGCGACTGGCCCCGCCCCCGCTCAGGAATCGGTCCGTCTATTCGCCGCGCCCCATCCTCCACCCCTCTGGTACAATGGAACAGTCCTCAGCCGAGCACCAGGGCGGTGGCAGAACACGCCCCTTCTGCACGTGACCGCATCCGGCCTCGGTGCCCCCATCAGGTGACGGCCGTCCCGCGCTCTCGGGCAGTCACACGCCGCTCGAGCCCCTCTGTCGGGGGCTGGTGAGAGAGTGGGACAAGGCCTGCCCGCCCCGCCCCCGCGCGCTGCGCTGACAGGGAGGGGCCTGGCGCGGTCGCACACGGGCGGGGCTGGGTGAGGGACTTGGGGCCAAGGCGGAGGCGCTGGCTGCCGGGCCCAGCCTGGCACCGTGGAGCCCCCAGCACGGGGCCGTAGAGCCAGAGGAGCTGGGGAAAGGAGGCAGCTGAGGCTCCGCACAACGCATGTGCGCCCAACATTTAGCGCCACGTTGTGCACAGACTGACACCGTGTTCAGCCCATTAACGTCAGCGGGAGCTGCAGGGTGTAAACGAGCGTAGAGGCCTTGGCTGTTGGTCTTTGTCCCTGGCGCCGCCCCCACCTCTCCACTTACCTAGCGGAACACCTGTCCAGAGTGCACGCAATACTCCACCCCAGGTTGCATCATTCAAGGGTTTGTTCTCACACCTCCATCTCCACCGAAATCATTCATCGTTTTAAGAATACCAAAGACCAACTCCCCTCAGGCCTATCCTCCCGCGGTGCCGAGGGGAGTGCCTTGCAACACTATAGTCAGGTCAGGGCTCATATCCATATCCCAAACTTTAACAGCCCGCAAACCCCTTTCACTAAACTATGAAATCTCGTGAACCTCCTCCTAAAAATGAATATTTTCAGGGATTTAAGTTTAAATTTCCTCAGTGTGATGGATGCCCCAACTGCCCGGCCCCGCTCCTCCGGGGGCTTGGGCTGCCAGTCCCACGCCGAGCGCTGGGGTTCGGGCTGCCAGCTTCCCTGCTGAGGGGGGCAGGGCTCGGGCTGCCGGCCCCAACTGCCGAGCCCTGCTCTCTCTGGGGCTC